CGACAGACTACCAGATAAAATCCTCTAGAATATCATGGGTGGGTGGGTGGGTGGGGGAAAAGTAACGAGGCGCTAAACTAAAACTTGCAACTAGGCAAAGCATACAATGGCAGAATGAATACCCAGACCAAAGCAATGATCACAAGGCGCGAAACAATCCCCTTTGATCGATATGACGTCACGGACTCCCCTCAGCGGATGTAGCCTGCATAATACATCCGTCGTTAACCTTGCTTAAATATATTTAACCACATTTAACGGCAGAGTATTAGTGTTTGGAGGTAGGTGCCGTTTGTGGTCCAAGGCCGCAACTAGCCTTGATGGCAAGAAGTATTGCCATAGCAGCTGCGCAGCAACAATGAGAGCAACAATCAGTAATATTAGCAGCAAAAAGAGATAGGCATAACAATTCTGCCAAGGCATACCTCCACAATGGTCAGTACCTTCAAGTTCATAGCTCCAGTATGAATAAGGTCACATTCATAGCTCCAGTATGTATTCAACAACATTCGTAGCTTCGGTATCACTTAAACATCATTCATATATAGCTCAAGTATGACTAAAGCAACATTCATATATAGCTCCAGTATGAATTAAACAACATTCATAGCTCCAGTATGAATAAAACGACCATGTAGTTCTAATATTAACTTGAAGAGGAAGTGCCATGGCAAATTGTCATGTGCACTTTTCTCCAAGAAATGACCACAAACTATGGCACCCACTATACGCGCTCCGAGACGTGAAATTATATCTGTACTAAAATTACCAGAAATACACGCAAATGACTGCAACGGGAATAAAATGTATATTATTTTTTACCAAGCTGGTTAGTTGACCTTGTAATACTTGGACTACATTGGCAACAATATCCCCGGTCGACAATGCTGGCATCGTACTCGTTCCCGACTGAACAACGGTGTTTGTGGTCGTAGATGCGTGGTCGTAGATGCGCCTTCCCTTTGTCAACCTTCCCTTTATCCTCCTCCTTTGATGTAGAAAAACATATACCTGTCAGAATTACGACACGTACATTAAATTTGAAGAGTGTTTATTCTACTGGAATGTTTTGTAATAAGCAGCATAACGCAGAGAACTGCATTGTAATTAAAAATTATAAGAAAACCATTGACTGTCCTTCCCTAACAAAGAACGCGAATAATCATAATCACTCAAATTCAAAACTAAAGCTCGCTCATTTGAATGTCAGATCTCTGAAAAATAGAGATAATTTGATCCAGTTGAGGGAACTTAATGGCGAACATCAGTACGACATTTTAACGATATCGGAATCATGGCTTAATTCCACAGTAAAAAAATCAGAAGTTGAAATTGAAGGTTACAGACTGTTGCGGTTGGATCGCCTTGGTAAACGTGGAGGTGGTGTTTGTGTTTTTACTCGTAACTCACTGAAAACAAAGATTATAAAGGATATATCTGTAATTTCATCAATGGGTTTTCATCAATTGTGGATATTAATCCAACATAAGAAAATGAAATCTATTGTGCTATGTGTTGCTTATAGACCTCCTGACTGTCCAGTTTCCTGTTTCGTGGACGATTTCATGGACAACTATTCATATGCACTTATTTTGAAAAAAGATATATTCGTAGTGGGTGATCTAAATTGTAACTTATTAAAAAGTGGTCCAGAATCTGATGCCTTGAACGAATTGTGCAGCGGCTTGAATTTATTCCAACTTATCAAGGAACCAACTAAGGTGACTTTGCAGTCCTCATCTCTCATCGATGTGATTTTAACATCTAACACAAGCTTGGTAGTGGAAAGTGGAGTTGAAGAAACGCACATCAGTGACCACTTTCTGGTTTATTCAATATTAAACCTTAAATTGCCTAAGAAATTACCTGATTACATGGTCATAAGAAGTTTTAAGAATTATTCTTCTGAAGCGTTTAAAAATGATCTAGAACAGCTGATTTGGCAAGAAAATCCAATTGACCAGGGCGTTAACCAGCGACTGGACAATTTTAATCAGAAATTTCTAAGTGTATTAGATATTCATGCCACCATAAAGACTGTTAAGATTAAACGTCGCTTGTGCCCTTTTGTTGACCAGGAAATTGTTCAACTTATGAAAAAAAGAAATGCGCTGCATAAACTTGCCCGCCAAACCCTGCAGGCCTTGGACTGGGACAGATATCGTTCATGTAGAAATCAAATTAAAAGAAAATTGAGAGAATCCGAGAGAAAATTTGTGTATAAAAGAATTAATGATAAAAATAGCAACAACAACTCCCTTTGGAAAACTGTAAGAGAATGTATTCCTAGAAATGAAAAAACACGTTTAACTTATTCTGGGAATGTCGTTGAAGTAGCGAACAAATTTAATGAATACTTTTCTTCAGTCGGAGCAAAAGCGGCAGAAGAA